CAGGCGTGGCATTTCCTCGACGCCACAAAGGGTGCGCTGGATGGGGGGGCCCTTTGCGTTGCAGGCTCGCAGGGCGTGGCAGGCGCGGCATTCCCTCGACGCCACAGGGGGTGCGCTGGGGGTGGGGGCACTGTGCGGTGCAGAGTCGCAGGGCGTGACAGGCGTGGCATGTCCTCGACGCCACAAGGGGGTGCGCTGGGGGTGGGGGCCCTGTGCGTTGCAGGCTCGCAGGACGTGGCAAGCGTGGTAGTTCCTCGACGCCACAGGGGGTGCGCTGGGGGTGGGGGGCCCTGTGCGCTGCAGGCTCCCAGGGCGTGGCAGGCGTGGCATGTCCTCGACGCCACAGGGGGTGCGCTGGGGGTGGGGGCACTGTGCGGTGCAGAGTCGCAGGGCGTGACAAGCGTGGCATTTCCTCGACGCCACAAGGGGTGCGCTGGGGGTGGGGGCCCTGTGCGTTGCAGGCTCGCAGGACGTGGCAAGCGTGGTAGTTCCTCGACGCCACGGGGGGTGCGCTCAGGGTGGGAACTTGTGTCCTGTCAAGAACTGTAAACACGTTGGCACCAGCCGGCTCGGCGCGCCTGCGCTCTCACGCAGGCGCGCTCCTGTAGCCCTACTTCAAAGCACCGCCATGCCTGCGCGCGGCAGCCATGCCTCCCCAAAATCGCCGTGGACGCGCTGCCACCTCCATGTTTGGCGATGGGGACTGCAATGGTTCAGATGAGCGACGACGGTCTGCGAACACACGCGACTTAAACTAGATATGTGGGGTTCCTCGGTAGCGTAATTTTTGGGGTCGCCGGTGGCTCTCTTCTCTCGGACCACCTCAGATCAGGGCGGCATCTCTGAGACCAACGTTGCGAGGACGGAGCATCTCGTGGGCCGAGCCCAGACTTGCGAGGACATCGCAGGCGAAGCCAGCAGGAGCACCTCAGATCTGGGCATGCGTGAGCCCAGCGTTACGAAGATGTCTCAAGCGAAAGTGGCAAGACAACCTCCACATTTTGAGCATGTCTTTGTGCGCTGGTCCCGCGGCTGAAACTAGCTCCAACAACTGCGAGACTCCAGCAGGCCACGCTTCGTGGGGAACAACGATCAATGAGGATGTGCGAGAGGGAACGGGAAGACGCGAGAGAGGAGGAACGAACAAGAGGGGAAGGAAGAAAAAGAAGCGCCCTTTCCAACTGGGCTTGACTTTCTGCGACATGCTTCTGATGATATGGATGATTAAGGCAAATGCGTGCGCTGGCAAACCGGCACGGCCCGGACAACCCCTTGGACAACCCCGCGACGACCAGACAACCCTCCCCGGACAACCCTCCCCAAATTTTACAACATAGCAATATCGGCAGCCTCCCGAAACAATTCCTCGCCTGGACAAGATCGAGCACAATTCAATTGAATCAAAGGCACCTGCGTCGCTCTGGCTGTCGTCGTGGGAGTCGTCGTGGGAGTCTCTGTACTGCGCGTCTTCTTCCGTGCCATCGATGCCCGTCGAGCCATGAATGTCGCCGCTGTCCGCCCGGGAGGCGCCCTGTCGTCGAGGCGTCCTGATACTCATGCGAAGCATGCGTCGCTGTGTCCGCTGGAGGTGCTGCCGAAGTGGTTCCGTGAGTGTCCACGTTTCTGTTCCGTACAGTGCTGTCGGTGTCACTGTGTTGTTGAAAAGCCTACGTCGGCGTGCTAGTGGGTAGTGTTTACTCAACAGCTCTTGTTTGTGGGAAGTGGGCGATGCCCATGCATCTCTTGTGCGATGGTGGACTTCTGTCTCCATGGGGCTGTGGAAGCTGATCTGCTGGCCGAGATCTTTGAGACTGCCCTCGTAAGGAAGAATCTCGATGTCCATGTCCTGGACGCGTGCTGTGCGCGAGCTCGCCCTGCCTGTCCTTCTCGTGAAGTTGCTCATGATTTTTGCTTTGTCTGGGTGTAGCTCGAGCCCGTTGGGGCGCGCTGCGCTGGAAATGTCGTCGAGCATGGCGGTGAGGCGCGGGAGGATTTGGCCCGTCAGGAGCACGTCGTCGGCAAATCGCAGATTAGTGAGCGTTGAAGTTGTCGTGAATCCTAGCCGTACGCTTTTGCGTTTCTTCTGCCAGTCAGCGATCAATGGTGCAATGGTGTGCTGCAGAAGGGAGTTGAAAAGCAAGGAGCTGAGTGGGTCGCCTTGCTTAGTGCCCCGCAGAAGACTGAACGGGCTGCTTGTGACATCGGTCTTCACCGTGGCCGTTTGTCCTGTGTACAACTGCTTGAGTAGTGAAATGTACCCTTGTGGTACACCCTGCGCTTCTAGTGCTGCCCGGATACTTTTGCGCTCCACTGTGTCAAAGGTTTTTTGAAGTCGAGTGCTGCGACCCACAAATTATGGTTCCACTCATGCGCACGTTTACGTATCATATGAAACGTAAACAGATGGTCGATAGTCGAATGTCCCGGTCTGAACCTGGCCTGGTCAGCAGTCTGCCGAGAGACCAGCGTTCGTTAGAGCCGGCTGTAGAGCAAGACGGCAGTCGACGCCAATCGACGCTGAAGACGCAACTGGGATGGTACACCAGGCTCCCATGATTTGCTACCCAAGGTGGTCATGCATAAACTCCCGCCTCGGATCCTCGCCCTGGCCCCGCTCGATGTGAGCGGCGCATATCTGGCCGCGAGGGTGCCCGCGAGGGTGCCCGCCTGGCCGCTCGCCTGGCCGCTCAGGGCCCGCCCCCTCGCGGCGGCCACGCCGCGGCCCGGAAAACCTCGTGCGCGCCGCGCCACGGCCCGACTCCTCGGCACCGCGGCTCGACTCCTTGACTCCTCCTCCTCCTCCTCCTCCTCCTCCTCCTCCTCCTCCTCCTCCTCGACTCCTCGACTCCTCGACCCCCTCGGGTCATGAACAAAAATCACGACGGGAGGCTTTTGGTGATGACCGTGCTGCTGCGCGACGCCCGGGACATGCTGGGCGACCGCATGGGAGACACGGAGGAGCTAGTATACGCCGACGACACGCTCATCGTAGCCACCAGCACGGAGCGCGCGCAGGAGTACATGACGGCTATAGCTGCCGCTGGCGCGAACTACGGCCTCAAGTTCAATTGGGGAAAGCTCGAAATGCTGGCAATCCGGTGCCAGGGGAGCGTGACGAGACCGGACGGCGCCCAGATTCCGAAAAAGACTCCATGGATTATTTGAGGAGTGTCTTGGCGGCGGATGGATCCATCGCTTCTGAGCTGAGCAGGCGGCTTGGTTGCGCCAGGGCTGAGTTCGACACCCTTGCCCGAATCTGGTCTCATTCCACCCTGTCCACACAAACGAAGTTGCAGATCTTCGAAGCCTGCGTGCAGACAATACTGCTGTACGGATTGCACGCGTCGTGGCTCCGGAAACACGAGTTGGCCAAACTCGACAGCTTCTACGTGCGGTGTCTGAGGAAGGTGTTAGGGATACCACATTCATACATTAGTCGTGTCTCGAACGCTGAGTGCTAGTCAGGGCCCGCCGGCCATCCTTGATTCGCATTCTCTTGCACCGTCAATTATGTCTTTTTGCGCAGATCGCCTGGCACCCGGATGATCATTCGGTTTGGCGTGCGGTTTTCCAGCCGTCTTCTTCGGAACTGCGTCCGCCGGTCAGCAAATTAGTTGTATAAGCACGCAGAGAGAGTCTGCGAGAGCAATGCGTATGATTTTCGACAGCTCGCGGCAATTCCAGCAGAAGCCTGGCAAGCCGCTGTGCGACACTACTGCCCATGTGCTTCGAGACCCGGCGTGCATTCATTCATTCGGCCTCTGGGAGCCCTCACCGGGCCTCGGGACCGTTAACAAAACGACTCAGGAGGAAAAACTGGCCCTGGGGAATGGGTCGAGGCTCCTGGGGGTCGACGTTGTGAAAAAATCATGACGTCGGGGGCCTGGTCACGGAGGATCCGCCGTACTCTGATGAGGCTCCGGCCTAGAATGGCGTGAGGAGTCCAAACGATGCGACGAAAGTGGGGCGGAAGGGTCCGCCTCATCATGGAGCGGATGTTTGCGCAAAGGCACGGCGGAAACAGCGACGGCAAAGGGCGGAAATCGGCATCAAAAAGATTGAAGAGTAGGGCAGGGCGGATATTTCCGCCCTGCTCGCAGCATCGCACAAGGTACGGCGGATCTGGAGCTCCGCCTCCTCCTCCTCCTCCTCCTCCTCCTCCTCCTCCTCCTCCTCCTCCTCCTCCTCCTCCTCATTATTCACCCTCCTCCTCCTCCTCCTCCTCCTCCTCCTCCTCCTCCTCCTCCTCCTCTTTCTCCTCCTCCTACCCTTCCTCCTACTCTTCACCCCGAGCCCACTCCCGACCGCCGCCAAGAGCCTGGCTCCCCCGCCTGCGGCAACTCCTGGAAGCCTCCCGCACCATCTTGTTGGCTCATGCGACTCGACGCGCATCGACGCTAGGTCGACGCCAATTCGACGCTACATCGACGCTACAGCGGCGCTATCTCACCGACCACACAGCGCGAATCGACGCCAGTGCACCGAAAGACGGAATTGCTAGGGTACGACAACGGCCCAGCGGCGACTGCCGAGGTGCGTGAGGCGGGGGCACCTGAAAAAGTGAGCGATGCAATCGGGACGAGGGCGGCCGAAAACGCAGCTCCACAGCGCATCATGCATGTGCATGCGACGCGTGGCTGTCCCCCCCGAAGCCGTTCTGAGGTATGGCAAGCACACTGCGGGCGGAGCTCGCAACAGGGTGTCGCGCACCAGGTCTCTGGGGGGCGTACAGGAAAACCACGTGCTGAGGCGCCGGCCAATTCGCAATCGCAGCGGGTAGGGGAGTGGTGACGGAGGGCGGAGGAAGGGAAGAAAAAGCAGGAGGGACGGGGCAGGGGAGGAGGGAAGGCGGACGGAGAGAGGAGAGAGCAGGGACGTGTGGACAGAGGGACGGAGGGACGGGGGATCGCCAGCCGCAGCTCCAGGGGCGGCGCGGGGGGCAGCAAGGGCTGGCCGCGAGCACGCGAGCACGCCGCATTGGGGCACGCCCCCGGTCCCGCGGTCTTGCAGCACCACCACTTTTTCTCCTCGGGCCAGGACTCGCTCCAGGCAAAGAGGCCGCGGCGGCAGTCGTAGGGGCCCGACGAAGTCGTGGAGGCTGGGGGCCGGGGCTCTTTCCGACAGAGGAAAAACCACGGCGGCGGTCGTGGGCACCTCCCCCTTCACGTCCTCCTCCTCCTCCTCCTCCTCCTCCTTCTCCTTCTCATCACCATCATCATCACCATCATCATCGTTCTCATCATCATCACCACCATCTTCATCACCACCATCATCATCATCCTCATCATCACCATCATCCTCATCACCACCATCATCACCATCATCACCACCATCATCGTTAATTCTCCTGGAAAAACCAATACACTAATCACTCAAAGAGAGGGGAACGGGGGAGCGAACGTTTTGGGAGGAAGCTCGGGATGAATCCATCTTGGACCCCCGCCCCCAACGGTACAGTGGCGAGGGTCCTCCTGCTGGAAGGGTGGGAGGAAAATGGAACGGCTCCAGCCCTGACGGCTGCATGAGGGGGAGAGGAGGTGCACGGCAGGGAGGAATTGCCCCGTCGATGGGAAGACCCCCTAACAGAGTCAAATTTCCCTGAACGGGGGAGCGGACGTTTTTGGCGGACGCTCGGAATGAGTCCGCGTTGGGCCCCCGCCCCTGTCGCCCGCCCGGGTCCGACCCTCATGCCCTGCCCCTTTTGAGGGAAAAGTGCAGCGCGGGACACGGGACTGACCGCGTGTATCCCGCGCGCAAACGCACCGGTGCCAAGGGCATAGCGAGCCTGTACCAGGCAGGCGACGGGGCGGGCCCCCCCCGGGCAGGCCTGCAAACCTGACCGGCACCGAACGAGCACCGGCGGGCTCGAGAGTGAGCCCCGCCATGCAGCGGGTGCCTTCGGGTGCCTCCGCCCATTAGGTGAGCTCCTCCCACGGGTTCTATTGGTACCCGAGCTCCTCCCACGGTTCCGTTGGTACCCCACCGTCATCCTTACTTTGACGCAGGTACTCCTGTCGAGATCCACTAGGAGTGCGTGCCGTGGGTGGTAGCAGAGTCCAGCTCCACCCCTCAGCGCGCTCTCATCCCCCTCCCGAGGTGCCGCCCATTTGATGTGCTACCACCCCGCTCCCGGCAAGCGCCTGGCTATTCAGCCACCTCTGGAGCTGGATGGGGGGGTGCCTCCCAGTGGCAGTGCCCGATCTTGCGGGCCGCCAGATCCTGCATATAATCGGGCAAGATCCTGCCCGCCCGCCCCGATGCTGTCCCTGGGTAACTATCGCCCAGTGGGCGCCCATTCTCCACGCCCTCCAGTGCTGGTGCTGGGTTCCTTCCCGCGACCCAGGCCGGGGGCTGGCCCCCGCCTTCGCCTGCGGAATCCGAGGATTCGCTCTCTTCCACGGGCCGTTGAAAACGATAAGCTGGCCTTCTTCTCCCGGGCCCCCCCTGGGGCCGCCTCCTCGCGTTTTGCCCCGTCGATCCCGTTTAGGACCAGCGCGCGGGCCGTCCTCTCGTCCCCCCCGAAGACGAACCGCAGGTCCCCCAGCTGCTCCAGGGTCAGCAGGGCCGCGGGGGGCGACACCGCGCGCCGAGGGCAGCGCCTCCGAAGTTCCCCGCTGCACGCGGTAGTGGAAGCACCCCCGGTGCCCCATCCATCGGGAGCGGCCAAGAGGGGGGTGTCCAAGAGGGGGGGGTGCAAATCATGACCGGCGGCATGTGCGCGGCCCAGCGGGGGGGCCTGGGACGTGATGAGATAAGAAGGGGCGCCATGAAATCTGAGGAAAAATCATGGCCCGCGCCATGAAATCCACCCCCCCCTAGTCATCACCCCCCTCTTTTCCGCTCCCGAATCCAATCCACATGCTCGCGCCGCAGGCCCGCCGCGCGCGAGCCCGGGGACGGGCCCTCCCACTTGAGGGGCGAGCGCTACGGCAGGTTCGTGTCGTGTCGACCCCGGCGTTGGTTTTTGACACCGCGGGGATCGTTCAACCTTGAACAATCGGTTGTCTCCGCAATGTCCAATCGTTCAACATCGATCGATTCTGGGTCGCCGGCGGCGTTCAACCTGGAACGTCGGCGGCGGGGTCGCCGCTGGTCGACACGACGCAAACCTACCGTAACTTCCTGGAAGCTCTGGTAGCAGGCGTCGAGGGCGCCGCCCCCTCGTGCTGCGGGCCGCGCGCCGGGGGGGGGGGGGGGCGCCGCGTTGTCCCCGCCAGCGCGCAGGGCCCCGCGGGCGACCCCGCTCCTCCAGGGGGCGCCCCTCCTGTCTCCGCGGGCGGCCCTGCCCCTCCCAAGAGCGCTCTCTCCGCGGAGGGCGGTTCCAGTCCATCGCGCGGGCCCCCTGCAGCGCGCCGGCATCCCCGGAGCGGCGTCAGTCGGCGCCGGGCTGACGGGCACAGCCTCCCGGGGCTCTGGGCAGTTGGCTCCGGGCGGCGCGGGCTCTGGGGCGCCCTCTGCAGCCGGATGCGCGCCCCAGGGGGCCCGTGCGCGTAGTGCCCGCTGAGCCAGTCCCAGCAGAGCCTGCCCTTGCCCTTCCCCCATCCATGGGGGGGAGCCCTCCATGGGGCCCCCGGCCTCGAGGGGGCCGGCTCCGCGTCGACTACCCTGCGGGCCGGAGAGGGCCCCCGCTCTGGAGTGGGAGCCTGGCCCTCGGGCGCTCTCCCGGTTCCCCTCACCAGTGGCTGCGGCCTCCGAAGGGCGATGCCGCTCCTCCTTGGGCTCCGTCACCGGGGCCTTCGAAGGGCCGCGGGCGTGGGGCGGAATTTCCTGCTCCCCCTCGGGGGGCTTCCCCGGCCCCCCCCCGGCTGGCCTCGCGCTCCTTTCGTCCTCGTTCGGCGCTCTCCTCCTCCAGAGGGGTGGGCCCGCGAGCGCCCCCCCCCCTTCTTCCGCGCCCGCCTCGCACCGGCCCCTGCCGGGCGAAAGCGCCCCCCTCCACCGCGGGGGCTCCTCCGCGGGCCCCACCTTCACACTTCCTGTGTGGCCCGAGCCCCGCCCTCCAGGCTTCCCCCGCGCCTGGCTCGACTCCGCTCCGCTCTCCAGCGGGCAGTTCGACCGCCGCCCTCTGGCCCGCGGGGTTCCGTTTCTAGGCGGGAACCTCCCCTTCCGCCCGTGGGGGCGCAGCTTGCCTTCGCGCCCCGGTGAGCCGCGGCCCCCGCTGTTTCCTCGCGCCGGGCGTTCCGCCCCCGGGAGGGATCCGCGCGCCCCTGCCGAGTCCCTCGAGGCGCCTGGGCCGTCGTCGGCCCCCGCCCCCCACCGGGCATGGCCCCGCGGGAAGTTCCCCAGGAACTCCCCCGCGCACATGTCTACCAGGGTGATGTCCACTCGCTTCGCCCCCATGTTCTGCGCCACATCCTGCGAGCGCTCCTCGGCGCGCAAGAACTTGAACCGCTCTTCCCACGCCGGGCGATCCCCTGTCCGCAGAATTGCGCCCAAGAGAGCGGAGTCGGTCGTTAGGCCCCGCTTGCGGAGCAGCCTCTTCCAGCGGGCCTCCACGCGCGCCCGCGTCGCTGGCCGCGGGTTGTCGACCCCCCCTGGCCCGGCTCCCGCGGCTCCTCCCCGGCGTGCTCACCCCTGGACCCCCGGGATCCGACGTCGCGCAACATCCGCGGCCAGAGTGCTCCACCTTGTCTTTCTGCGGCATGTATTTCGCACGATCGATCTGCGAGGGTCCTGCTTCTCTTCTCGGGGAAACGCGCGACTCGAGCGCGCCGGAACTCGTGCTCGCCTGCGTTTTTTCGCGAGGCCATCCTGAGTCTTGACGGCCCCGTTTTTGCGGGATGCGTCGGAAGCCCGCGTCAAATTTCAGACTTGGTCGCGCCATTTTCATGATGGCCCCGCCAGGTCGACCCAAATCTCCTTGGCCCTAGCCTTACGTCTCCCCGATCTTCTCGCGTTATGACGAGAATCCTGGAGACCTCGCGCGGCGCGCAGGTAACTGCATTATCTGGTCCGCACATTTGCCCCGCGAGATGTGCCGCGACGTTCGCGCGCCAATGCTCCGACGTAAATCCGACGTGCACCCGACGTAAATGCGGCCTTGGACCCGACGCACATCCGACGTGGATCCAACGTGCGTCGGGGGTCAAGTTGCCGCGCGAGGCCTGACGATTTCTCTCGCAACCCTTCCAACCAGGCGCGACACTGCCCCGCGACCCGGCGAACGACTCTTCCGTTCACGCGCGCCTAGAGGAGGGGGGGGGAAGGAGGAGGAGGAGGAGGAGGAGGGGGCGGAGGAGGAGGAGGAGGAGGAGGGGGAGGAGGACACGACGACGATGCTCTTCCTTTGGGGTGGAGGGTCCCCCAGTGGGTGGGCTTTGAAGAGCAACCGCCAACAACTGGGCTCCGAACTCTGGCGCGCATCGTTAGGCGCCCAACCCGTGGGCCTCAAGCCCAACCATGGGATGCATATCCAAGGGGGCGTTTGGAACTGGCGGCGCAGCCACCTCCGATGCGAATCTGCGCAATGCCACGACGAACACTTTGGATCGCAAGGGTTGGGAACGAGGGCGCGAGTTGCAAACGACGTAAGATGGACAGGTGACAGGGATGCGGCGGACAGGGAACGGGGACATGATGCGAACGGATGGCGAACGCTGGAGAATGGCAAGGTGGTAAAGAGACGGTGACGAGCGCTCGTGTTTTCGCTCGCATGGCACCGGGGTTCCAAAGAAACGTCGAGCATGGAGCGAGAGCGCACATAACTACGATTTCAACAGTGCGGCTAGAGACATGCACTCCTCTGGGCACTTAGCTGGCCTCTTGAATCCGGGATGTTGGCGCCTAGAGAACCTGTCCCAGGAGGATCTGGCCCCTTTGGAGGGCCTTTTCTTGAATTCGGGATGTCGGCGTCTAGAGAAGCTGCCCCAAGAGGATCTGACCCCTTTTGGAGATGAGCTCGCGACTGCAATCCCCCTAGAGCCTCCTGAGATTCACCGATCCCGAGCACGCTCACAGACACCGCAGATAGGAAGAGGAGGACGAGGAGGCGGAGGCGGAGGAGGAAGGAGGAGGAGGAAACGGAAGAGGAGGAGAAGGAGGAGACGACGTACCCGAGAAGGTCCGTCCGACCGCCGGCCTCGACCTCGGCCGACGCAGCAGCATCGACGGAGGGAGAGTGGGCCCCTGCCGGGTGGCGCTTGGGTTCATGTTTTGCCCCCCCGAAGGGCGTCGCAACCCGCTGCCACTTCCGCCGCCAGCAGGGCCCGCAAAAAGTCGGCGCTCCAAGCAGACGAAATGTGAAAATAATCGCCTTTCAAGCAAGGACAAAAAAGGTGGAAGGACAGATCCTGTCACATCAGGACGGGCCCCCGCCCTCTTCAGGAGAGAGCCGAGAGGCACAGGGCACTGCGGGAGAGCCCTCGACCGCGACATGCTGACGCATCTGGTGCCTCGATCGATCCCCCCCCCCATCCCAAGTCCCGCATCCTGTCCAATCCTCCACCCACAGATGAGAGAGAGAGGGAGGGAGCGAGAGAGAGAGAAAGAGAAAGAAAGAAATAAAGAAAGAACACACGGCCTCGACGGGAGCATCTCACCGCTCGAGCGCCAGCTTTGCAGCACCTCGAATGCCGCATGCGCGCTCAAGAGACACCGGTGTCTTCTGAGCAAAGTCTTTCGCCTTGTGATACATGTGGAATGCCAAGGCGACCGCCCTCAGGCATTCCTCGCGCGAGAGTTCCGACCCCGCCCGCCCGTAGTCAGACGCCGTCCCCAGTCCCAACGATAATCGGTGAGACTGGAAAACGGCGCCTTCTCCAGGCAGGGGGCACTGCTAAATGGTGATACGTTGTCGGGCAACGCAGGTAGTGTGCAATCTCGTCGGAGTCTGTGCAGCCCCAGATACAGCTCGTGGGAGGCGTGCCCATGTGCAGTCTGTGCGCGGTCGCCCACGCTCCGCAGAAGGCCTTGAAAACACTCCATCGCCATGCAGGCTTGAGACTCGCGGGACAGGTCTGACAGAGAGCCCACCGCCCGACCGCCGACCTCAGCCCCCAAGGAGCCGGGACCTGCCACGCGAGAGGCCGTCTACCAAGCGTCGTAGGGAATGAATCAGGAGAAGCGACTGCCCGAAGCGCGCGTGCAAAGATGCGCCGTGGGCGCGGGCGGCGCGCCTCCTGAAGAGCTAGCGCGGCGCGCTCGCGCGCGGCGCGAAACGCCGGGTGCCACCCGTGCTTATCTGGGGCGCGGGGGGGGGCGGAAGCCTCGCTCGCCCCATGAGTTGCGCAATTGAAAATGGACGCCTCCAGCAGGGCGCTGAATATTTACCTGCAAAGAAGCGTGGCATTGTCTTGAGCATATTCTTTCAAGCTGTGCAGTGCACGTTGCCAGGTATGATTCATCGTGCGAAACGAGGTGCGCCAGCTTCTAGCCCGCCCAAGCAATGAGACAGAGGACGGGGCAATGGCGAGCAGAGATGGCAGGGCGTTCAGATCAGCAAGACTGAGGCTGTCCGGCGGCTGCCTGAGCAGCTCGTGCAAAGCCTGATGTTCGAGCCTGCGAATCACAGCAGGGATAGGAAACAGTGGGGCGAGCCAGCTCCAGAATATGGCAGAGCAACCGTCCTCGACCACCACTTCTCTGCTGCGGAAGCCCAGATAAGGCTAAGCGTGGCTGCGGGGCCCATTTCGACTCCTAGGTAGATCGTATGGCCAGCGATCTTAAAGTTGGCCCAACGTGGGATCCACCTACGGGGCTCGTTTCGGGCCCTGTCCTGGACTTCGACCGTGCACTCGGTCCACAGTAGGACCAGGGCGCATTTGGCCCCTTGGGGCCTGAGAAAAGCAAAACGCTCCACGTCCAGGAAAGGGAAACACTAGCCAGGTCTCGAATGCGAGGCATCACCATCCCGACGTCGCCAGCACAAACTCCGAGAGAACCCTTGCGGCGCCTCGCCTGCGGGAGCTGCGTGGCTGCGCGCAGGCATCGAAGGACGGGCCCCGCTGCAAGAGCCCAAGGAGAGCCAGATAAAGGGCACCCCTGCAGGACCCCCGAGCAGAGATGAAACGGGAAAGCGATTCGATTTTGAATTTTGGCAAAGTCTCTGGGTTAAAACGTATAACGCATGGATGAAGTTCAGGAAGCCTGGCGGGAGCCCAACCCTACCCATAATCTCGAACAACCACTGGTGGCCCAGGGACGGGAACGCCGCCTCCACATCGTAGGCGGCAAAGATCGGGAGGTCCTCCTCAGCCTCGGGAGCGATGCCGGCCCTGCGGGCCTCGGCGTCCAGCGAGATGATGTTGGACAAGGAATTGCGTCCTGGGATGAAACCTTGTTGAGCCTCGTGGGTGCGCTCTTGGGCAACCTGGCGTATCTGGAAGTTGGTGGCAGAGGCCACGATCTCAATGTCCGTGTTCCTGAGGCTAGGCGGACGAACCTTCCCTGGGGACCGCGCGCACCCCTGAGCATCTTCGGGCTCCGAACATTTGAGAAGAAAGGCGAAGAGGCTATCATTGAGCTCCAAAGGCACCGCATGGCCGCCGCACAGGTATGTCATAAGTTTATGTGGGGCAATTAGTTGTTCGGGTCGAGCTTTGCATGCCGCGTAAGAAAGCTGATCAGGACCAGGGGCTGACCGTCGGGCAAGTTTAAGGGCACGTCCTACTCCGGGTCCAGTTGGAAGTCTAAGAGGTAAGAGGTCTTGCTGAGGGGCAACTTTGTCGAGGCACTCCTGAAGGGCCTCCTCCTGAACTGCTTTAGCGCCGAAAACGCGTTTCCAATGGGAGGTCAGAGCGGAAGCAATATGCTCGGGATCTCTGGCCACAGCTGGGGGTTCTCGCAGGCTTTCGGGTCTGATCCCTGCGAGAACGAGACGATGAGCCTTGGGGGCCCACAGGGTAGAGCGCCTCTTGTGCATCCTCGCCGCTCGTCTCTCATCCTCGACCACCGCTCCCTCCCCTTTGGACGCCCTGCTTCCAGCAAGCCTGGCCTCCATCTGTCCGAACTCGTAGTTGGCGGCGCGCACGATGAGGGCGAACTCGTGCCTGTCGAGGAGTTCAGCGGTGCCGTTGGTCACGTGGAGGAAGCGCGCGACGTCGGCCGTGGTGGCCTTCAGCTTCTGGGCCGTGTAGATGTCGCTGCGCCAGACACATCTGGCTATTGCTATAAGGGTGACGAAACGTTTTCCCTTGGCACGGGAGTCTTTGGCCGAGATCGGAATTCGCTATAGTTCGCCACGGACCTGACGAGCAGCCTCAGTCATGAAGTCTTTCATGCAACGCCATTGGTACACAACTGGAAATCGATCAAGTTGAGCCGCATCGAGAAGTTGTCCTAGGATCTCTCCGCAGCGTGGATCACGAAAGACATGTTCAGGAATACTGGTCTGTTGATCATGCCGAACGCGGTCGCGAAGGTGAAGAAAGATCGGCGTGTGGTCACTGAGCCTGGAGTCGGAGATGGCGGCCGCGCCAATGTCAACCTCAGCTAAAAGTTCGACATCTAGCAGAAAGTGAGCTGGAATTCCGATACATACTCGGTCCAGTGTGGCCGCGGTTGCCGTGTCTCTGCACTAGTGCGTGGGGCAGTCTGTCGATATTTCAGTGAGCATGGAGAAGAGACGTTCCCAATATGCTTGCAGGGGTTGAGATCCACGACTACGCTCTGCAGGAACAGTGCCAGGGATGAAGTCTTCCGAAATGGGGTCCACATAGCTGCGCGTCGGGCCCGACTTGATGTTGAAGTCACCAGCAGAAAGGAGGAGAAGGAGGAGGAGGAGGAGTGGGCACACTGCGTCGCCGAGTGCCCTTGGATCTGACAAACTCCTACGCCCGCTACGAACATGCTGGGAATGATGCTGCGAATGCGAAGCGGCCGTCCGACGCAGCCCTGCGCGGACGCGGGCGGCGGCGCAGCCGCCCAAGACCTGGAGCACAGCGCCCCTGGAGCCAACATGGTACAGCAGCGACTCCTCGTGTTCGACACTGTGTAGGAATTAATGATGCTCCTCCTCACCCTGACCCCCGCCCCCTGAGATCCTGGCGACTCAATTTTTCGAGCCGGGCGTTTTCGCCCAGGCTCGGGCCCCAGGATCCTCACAGATCGATACGTCTCGAAAAATGACGCAACCAGATGGGGTCCGGGGCTCCGGGCGTCATTTTGGGAAACGTCGGATCTCAGGGCCCCTTCCCCGCACTGTCCGCATCCTCACTCCCCATGGCACCAACATCACGACTTGCAAGTCAGGCGGATGGGGCAAGGTGCAGGAGACGGAGCGGGCGGGAAAATGAGGACAGAGCGGACGGGGAAGGGAGACGAAAAAGGAGATGGAGGAGGGGGGGAGAGGAGGCGGATGAGGGGGAGTGACGTGGCGGGGGGTGAGGCAGGGGGATGGACGTCGGCTACACGCAAGAGTGACCCTAACAAGAAAAAGTGGCCCTTGGCGCGCGACTTAACAAGGGACGCGGGGTGGCCAAACCTGGGCGCGCTGCTACCGCTTCGCGTTCAGCGATCGGGGAGCCCCATTGGGCCCACACCAGAAGTCACTCCAGCGAAGGGTCATTCTTACGTCTGCTCGAGGAAGAGGAGGGAGAATGGGCGGATATTGGCTAGCAACGCAGCCGCGCCAAACAGACCGGCCTGGGCAGCCCTTGGCCAAGTGCTCACAGCACCAGCCTCAGCACCGAACGGCGGGGGAGGAGATTGATTGCCAGGCCAGCGCGGGCGATGTGCGAGCGGCGAGCGGAAAGCTAGGCTACATGGCCGCCATGACCCAACTGCTACCACCATCGCCACCAACATCACCATCACCAAGCACCACCATCATTGCCATCCTCACCACCATTGCCAACGCACTCGTTTTCATCATCCACATCCCAAACACTGTCGCTGGACAGCGTCGCGCGCGGAGTCAACGCGATACCCGACGGCGGGGCAGCAGACAGCGCAGGGGCAGAAGCAAGGAGCAGCAGCAGGCGAGGGAGAGAGATGCGAAACCCAGCCACGCACACGCCTAAAGGAGCCTGCGGGTGATGATGACTAACACGCTCACCATCACCATCCTTCTGCTTTCGCGGCGTTGCACTATTGCAGGATGTCTCAATGACACCCGTTGTCTCTGCCGTCGTGCGGTGGGTCTCCACATCACAAGCTCAACATCGCATACTCCCGCCCTGGCAGCCCCTGGCATTTATCCCGCATCGAACCACTATAGACTAACATGTGTTGCTACGTTTCAGCGCCCATTCGAAGGAGAAGAGCATACAAACCACTCAAAATCAAACGCCATCCCCCAATCTCCTCATCACCCACAAGGTGGTCTTGCAAGTATAGCGCATCGGGTCCGTGTGGTCCTGGCGGCATCGCTGGCAGGTCGGACGAGGCACTCGGCTTCTGTGAACCGAGTCTGGCGCCACAGCCCGCCAGTGACAATTGTTTATGGCGCCCCAGCTTCGAGGATACGCTTTTCTGCTGCACGCCTGCAGCCGACGCTCGGACACTTGAAAGGGCAGCTCCATTTTGTAGACTCGCCCAACCTGCGCAGATTGGTTTCCTCCCATAAGAACGGAGTACATCTGGCATCGGTGACCGTGCAAAGCTCCGAAACGCCCTGTCCGCCGCCATCGTCCATGCCCTATTCTTGGCCCAGAAGATCTGCCCAACGATCAAGTTCCCTCATCCTCCTGTCTATCATCTCAGCCGCACCCGTGATGAGGGCCACGCTTGGCCCAGAGAGCTCAAGATTGCCTCCAAAGTCCTTCGCCATGCTTGCAAGAGGCCCTAAGACGGCTCCGAGTTGCCGGAGAGCCTCCCCAGGAGGCCCCCGAGAGGCCTAAACCACTCAGCATCGAATGTGTTTCACTGATTTGGGTCTTCTCGCCTTGCCGCTTCTGGTGGGCTTCTGAAGCCCCAAGATGGCTCCGAGATCGCCCAGAAGAGCCCAAAGAGGGGCCCAGAAATGACCCAAGACATGCCCAAAGGCTTCCAAGAGCGCCCCCAGAGGCCCCCAAGAACCGATGTTTCGGGCTCTGGAGGGGCAGCGCAGACGAACTAACACCCCGAGCGCGATCGATGTCCTCAAAGATGACCCGAATAGGGTCCAGAAGGCCCCCGAGAGGGCCCCGAGCGAGAGAGCCCCGAGAGAGCCCAAACTGCCTCCAAGATTGCCCCGAGAAGCCTCCACGAGACTCTTGGACCAAAATATTCACACTCAAAAGAAGCGCCGAACACTGCCACTGCAGCGCCTGCCTCATCATGGCGATTTCCATTGACTTCTCCGCTCTGACTGGCGTAAAACCTGCTGGGTGGATGACGGGACTCTTGAAGCACCTGGGAGTTCCGTTTTCTGAATCAAAACCTACATTGCTGGAAGTCCTAGGGCCTAAGGATTTCAACCTCGGTCCCATCAGGTCCGTTTGAGGATGCGTGCTTCGGGGTGTAAAAACGCAGCTCTGGATACGTGGTCGAAAGCGAGGACGAGCGCTGAGAGGCGGAGGAAAAGGACGAGGAGAAGGACGAGGAGGAGGAGGAGGACGACGACGACGAGGAGAAGGAGGAGGCGAAGGACGAGGAAAAGGCTGAGAACGATGAGGAGGAAAAGGAGGAGGACGAGGCGAAGGAGAAGGAGGCGGAAGAGGAAAACCAGGGAGGACACGGAGCAGGAGGGTTGAAAAGAGGAGGTGGATGAAGATGACGACGATGATGGTGATGCTTCTGCTGATGATGGTAGCGATGATGATTAGTTATGATGATGATGATGATGATGATGATGATGATGATGCTGAAGATGATGATGCTGATGATGATGATGCTGATGATGATGGTGATGATGGTGACGATGACGATGACGATGACGATGACGATGACGATGATGATGATGATGATGATGATGATGATGATGATCATGATGATGATCATGATGATGATGATGATGAGGAGGAGGAGGAGGAAGAGGAGGAAAATGACGAGGCGGAGGAGGAGGATGAGGAGGACGAGGTGGATGAGGAGGAGGACGAGGAGGAGGAGCAGGAGGAGGAGGAGGGAAAAGACGACGAATATCGGCGGCGAGCCCAGGGGGAAGTGAGAAGGGTCTTCTGAAAAGTGTTCGAAGCCTTCCCCAAAAAACATAGGAAACCTCGCAGAAGGCTGGAGGCGTTCTCAGAGGCCCCACCGCTCTCTGAGAAGGCCTTCTGCTTCTCACTTCATGCCCTCGCTCGCCGCCGAGAATAGCAAGGAGGAGAGGGCCAGGGCGCGCGCTTCTCTTCGTCACGGACCAGTTGGCCTCGGAGTCCCAGAGCTCAGCGTCGCAGTCGTAGCGGCTGCGGGCCGTGTCCATCGGACGGGCGCGAAGGGGAGGAGGCAGGAGAGAAGGACGGGCAGGGGGGACGAAGGGGAGGAAGGTGCCGGGGGGACGCGCTCGACAGAGGATGCCGGGATCGCACTCGACCCACGTGCAGTTTCGCATGCCGAGGCCAACGCTGGCGAAGCACACAACGTAGGGAAGCAGGCGGCCATTTTGGAAGGCCGCACCGCCTGAAGCCGCACCGCCAGGGAGCGCCCTCCTCCTCCTCCTCCTCCTCCTCCTCCTCTTCCTCCTCCTCCTCCTCCTCCTCCTCAATTCCTTTTCGTTATACATTTGGTCAAGGAAGAAGCCCGCACCACAGGCGAGTGCGACCAGGGTGAGGGCGGGCGCGCGGATTTCTTGGGTCGTCGCTAGGGGAGTAGATGTTTTTCGCCCGGGTTGGCGTTCGCCCGGTTCGTTTCGCCCGGGTTGGCTTTCGCCCAGGTTTGCTTTCGCCCGGTTGGCTTTCGCACGGGCTTGCTTTCGCCCGGGTTGGTTTTCGCACGGGTTGGCTTTCGCCCAGATTGGCTTTCGCCCGAGTTAACTTTCGCCTGGGTTGGCTTTCGCCCGGGTTGGCTTTCGCCCGGGTGGGGCTTTGCCCAGATTGGTCTTTCGCCCTGGATGGCTTTTGGGTAGGCTTTCGCCCGGGTGAGGTTTTGCCTGGGTTGTTTTTTCGCTCGGGATGGCTTTCGCCTGGGTTCGTTTTCGCCCTCTTTTCCTCCTCTCCTAGTCCCGCTGGAGCTCCGTTGCGTTCCCGCATCAGCACTGGAAGTACAGCCCCCCGCCTTCTTCCCAGACGGCCTGACCTACACACACACACACACACACACACACACACCGCGCTTGCTCCAGCCCCCCTGAGGCCCAGGGTCAGTCAGTGCTACGTGCCCCCCTGGCAAAGCCAGACGCGTGCTCACTCGGGCGCGCCCCACATTTTAGCGTCCCGCCCGCCCGACCCGACCCCCCCGTCAGGGTCTGCCCGACCCGACCCGATCCGCCCCGCCCGTTAGGGTCCGCCCGCCCGACCCGCCTGTTAGGGTCCGCCCGACCCGACCCGATCCGCCCCGCTCGTTAAGGTCCGCCCGCCCGACCCGAACCGCCCGTTAGGGTTCACGCGTGCTCGCTCGAGCGCGCCCCACGCTTTAGCGTCCCGCCCGCCCGACCCGACCCGCCAGTTAGGGTTTGCCCGACCCAACCCGATCCGCCCCGCCCGTTAGGGTCCACACGCCCAACCCGACCCACTCGAGCGTGCCTCACACTTTAGTGCCCCGCCCGCCCGACCCGACCTGCCCCTGAGGGTCCGACCCGTCCCGCCCGTTAGGGTCCGCCCGCCCGACCCGACCCGCCCGTTGGAGCCCTCGCCCAACCCCGGCGAAAGCCAACCCCGGCGAAAGCCAACTCCGGCGAAAGCCAACCCGGCGAAAGCCAACCCCAGTGAAACGAAGAAAGCCAAGCCCGGCGAAAGCAAGCCCGGCGAAACGAAGCCCGGCGAAGCGAAGCCCGGCGAAAGCCAACCCCGGCGAAAAGCATCCGTGCCGTCGCTGGGCCCCCCCTCCCCTGGCGCTCGCCACAGTGGGGGAGGGGGCTACATTGGCGGCGCGCACAAGGGGAGCAGGGGAAGTGTGGAAGGTTTCTTGGAAGGAGGCTGCTTCTCAGAAGGTGCGGGCATGATTGACATCCATACATACCTAAGGCCAGCGCCCTCTACGAGGCAGAAGTGATCCCAATTGCTTCTAAGATTCCCCCTCCCCCATCCCCCCATCTGCGAGTGGCCGACTACAATCATCAGGCTACCAGACGGAACGCATAAAAAAGAACGAAAAAACTGTTTCTGGCCACGGCGGGCCTAGGCCACAAACAGGCTCCACTACAAAAATCACAGGACGGGCCCGAAAACCCGAGCCCCTCCTGAGCCCAAAGCAACCCTTCTTTCAGCGTCTTGACTGTCGCGCCGACCCTCGGAATCCGAGCGGCCATCCGAAAGCCTGTACTTGATGGAGGCGGCAAGCGGGTCTGAGCTGGATAACTCCCTAAACAATCAGTCAAGAAAGAGGGGCAAAGGCAAATCCGCTCAAAATCGGTTCCTGAGACCCTCCCAGGGTCCATCCAATGCAGGCTTTCACCCCAGATCCGTTTTTGACGGCCCCGGGAACCGAAGCCGGCCCCCCGAGGCCGACGAAGCCACCAAAGAGCATGCCCGAGCCAAGAATCTCGGAGCTCGCCCCCACTTCCTGATCGCGGGAACACATATACAGTCCGGCCTCCTCCTCCTCCTACTCCTCCTCCTCCTGCTCCTCCTCCTTCTCCTCCTCCTCCTCCTCCTCCTCCTCCTCCTCCTCCTCCTCCTCCCTCCCTCCCTCCCTCCCTCCCTCCCTGCGGAAAGAGACCCACGGGCGCCAGAGTTGGCCCCCCTCCCACTCCCTCTGTTTTGTTGGACGCCTCAAGCCACACAGCGACAGGCCTACATGCTCATATGAAATTGCGTCACACGCTCAATCTAGCTCGCTTGTCTTGGCCAGCTCAGCCAGACGCTATGCGAGACACATAGACCACCGCATCGTCCAATGCGATGGCCTCTGCGGTGAACGACGACACGGGGGAGTCAAGGAAAATGCGACGCGCTGCTATTGGAAAAATGTGTTTCAAACCGTTGCGGCTCACTATGGCCTCTAATATCCATGCTGCAGCGGAACACGAACCTGCACGGGTGCCCCCATCTGAATGATAAACAAGATTCGCAGCAAAAACGGTGAAATCTGGCATCGCGGGCGGAACCTCCGTCATCCAGCTGCTCTGGGTGTCCATGGCGTGGTTCACAAGAAAATCTGCAATAAGGTTATGCTCCGGGCGCCGCCATACGACTGGATCAGAAACGGCCGTGTGCGGGATCCACCCTGCATCCATGAGATCAAACATGCGCTTCGTAACCCGATTAAAAAGAGGTGCGAGTCCAGGGGCGCCAAGAGGACAATGCCCACATGCAACTTCAGCAAGAGGTTTACCATCTACGACAAAAGCCATGCAAGCAGACGATCTCCCAAACACTATCCCTACGTCCTGCTCTTGCTCGGTGTGCCTCCGCGGACAATTATTTATGTCGTGATGGGGCACCTTGCATCGCTTGCTTGGGTGTCGGCCCGATTCTGGGACTGCTGCAGGCATAGCCGGGATATCCCACAACATGCCAATGGTCGCGGCAAACTCTGGAAATAGCTTCAGCCACCCTGCGAAATCCTGGCAAGAATCGCGTCTAGCCCTCCAACCTGGCCCGAAAACCTCGCATAATATCTTCCCATTCCCGCCGATACCCCATGCCAGCATGGACAAATCCAACAGCGCGTCTCTGCTTCTCGATGGACCTGTCCTCCACGCTTTCCCACCACAATATGTTACGATAGTTCCGGGCGATCTGTATGTAATTGGAGCCTCCATGGGGAAGAAAAGGATCTCTCCCTCCAGGCATGTGTAAACACAGATTTTCCACGTTTGACGTGGATAGGTACATGGCCCATCTTCTTGAACCAGCCCTGAATCATGTGAGATGCACGGGCGCTGTAGTTCATGGCGCTCTCCTCTGGCCGACGCCTGAGCTTGAAGGCCTTCCTCAGTAACCGACTTCCCCAACGACGAAGACCCATCAAGATGTGTTTCGACAAGTGCCGCGCGCAGCAGCCGCGCAGCGTTGATGGCGCAGGCGCTGCAGACCATGCCGGAAGTTTGTTCTGGATCCGGCCTGGACCCGATAAGGTCCCCCAGTGCTTCCAGAAGCAGGCCTCGCCCTTGCTGAAGCGGTGCTCCATGCTAACCTCAGTGTCGCCACGATAGTCGAACGTCGTGCCCAGAATTGACATACGATTGACTGAAGACATTGCCGTGCCGGTGGAAACTTCGAGGGCCCGAGCTGTAGAGCCGAAGTCTTCTTTCAGGGATCCACGCGACATGCACTCCAAAGAAGATGGTCTCCACTGGGAGCCAACGTTCTTGATCGCTTCGGTGAGGTCTGCCATCATTGTAGCAAGCTGATCAGCCGAAGTCGCAAAAAGGACAATTAATGTTGTCAGCCCAAACCAGATGAGTAAGTGAACAGAAATCGCCATCAATGTCAGAAAGATCGAAACCGAATCCCCTCCTCTCCGAACCATTCACTACAGGCCTCATGATGAACTCAAGCATGCAATTGAATACGTCCGGTGTCTCCGCGCCGCCTTGTTTGCCGCCTCGTTCAAAAGGAAACGAATCACTAACTCCAGCCCCTGGCAACTCGATCGAACAATCCATGTTAGAAACTTCTTGCATCAACGCCTTCACCATTGTTGGGCGCAGGCCACGGCCTAAGAGAGCGCTGGACATGCAATCGTGGAGAACGCAATCAAAAGCTGTCGCAATATCGCCAGAGCCGAGGTGCCAGGGGGCGCCCCCGACGATATGCCATGAACAATGTCTGTCGGATAATGGCCCCAATGTCTTCGCAAGTATAACCGGGCTTGAAACCCAGGGCCTCGACTGATGAAGGCGCCAATGAACCGCGCACCCGAGGTTGCAGACGCCGCATATATCATCTCAAGCACGTGTCCAACTTGCCAATCCAACGATAAGATCCGAGAGAAGTCACGACCCTTTCTTTTGGTATGCCACTGAACTCAATGCTCTTCCACGACGCTGGGACAGCCAATTCCCCCCCGCCGTGCCTCGAACAAAAGTGACGCCAAAAATCTCGCAACAGCAGATAAGGTACATGTTTATAAACCTCAGCCAGAATGCCATCAGACCCTGGCGTGGAATCCATTTTGAGACCAGCCCGCGCTGAGAGTGCAGAAAACGCATGCAATGCGGGAGGTCGAACGCCGTCCAACTTCTCACTGTTTGCAAGCATCTCCAAATACCTCAACCGCTGGTGCTGCACTCCGCCCGGGTTCCGATCATCACCAAACCTGCGCCTACCAAACTTCCACGCCTCCTGCAACCGCAATTGTCTGT